CAAATGATGAGTAACTGTATTCAGTTACAGTTACTGTTTCAGTGAGTGGTAATTGGATTACAGTTACTTTGTTGAAATAAATGGATTACACGGTGGTATTTTCCTGTTTTCACATTTTGGGCTATTCCCTTTTTTTAAATTTTATTTTCAGTAATTCCACTCATTGCCAGACACTAAACCACCCAGGACTAAAACCAGGACTAAAACCAGGACTAAAACCAGGACTAAACCAGGACTAAACCAGGACTAAAACCAGGACTAAAACCAAGGACTAAACCAGGACTAAACCAGGACTAAACCAGGACTAAAACCAGGACTAAAACCAGGACTAAAACCAGGACTAAAACCAGGACTAAACCAGGACTAAAACCAGGACTAAACCAGGACTAAAACCAGGACTAAAACCAGGACTAAACCAGGACTAAACCAGACTAAACCAGGACTAAACAGGACTAAAACAGGACAGGACTAAAACTAAAAGGACCAGGACTAAAACCAGGACTAAAACCAGGACTAAAACCAGGACTAAACCAGGACTAAAACCAGGACTAAACCAGGACTAAAACCAGGACTAAACCAGGACTAAACCAGGACTAAAACCAGGACTAAAACCAGGACTAAAACCAGGACTAAAACCAGGACTAAAACCAGGACTAAAACCAGGACTAAAACCAGGACTAAACCAGGACTAAAACCAGGACTAAAACCAGGACTAAACCAGGACTAAAACCAGGACTAAACCAGGACTAAAACCAGGACTAAAACCAGGACTAAACCAGGACTAAAACCAGGACTAAAACCAGGACTAAAACCAGGACTAAAACCAGGACTAAAACCAGGACTAAAACCAGGACTAAACCAGGACTAAACCAGGACTAAAACCAGGACTAAACCAGGACTAAAACCAGGACTAAACCAGGACTAAAACCAGGACTAAACCAGGACTAAAACCAGGACTAAACCAGGACTAAAACCAGGACTAAAACCAGGACTAAAACCAGGACTAAAACCAGGACTAAACCAGGACTAAAACCAGGACTAAAACCAGGACTAAAACCAGGACTAAACCAGGACTAAAACCAGGACTAAAACCAGGACTAAAACCAGGACTAAAACCAGGACTAAAACCAGGACTAAAACCAGGACTAAAACCAGGACTAAAACCAGGTCTAAAACCAGGACTAAAACCAGGACTAAAACCAGGACTAAAACCAGGAAACTAAAACCAGGACTAAAACCAGGACTAAAACCAGGACTAAACCAGGTCTAAAACCAGGACTAAAACCAGGTCTAAAACCAGGACTAAACCAGGACTAAACCAGGACTAAACCAGGTCTAAAACCAGGACTAAACCAGGTCTAAAACCAGGACTAAACCAGGACTAAACCAGGACTAAACCAGGACTAAACCAGGACTAAACCATGTAAAGCAGAGTCTGGGCTTTTTATTTTCTTTTAGCAGAAAAAAATGTATGTGAAGATTTCCTCGTCGTTGCTTCTCTACAGCAAATCAAGTAATCCAAAGTATTCAGATTACATTACTCACTTTAAGTAATTTAATGGATTCTGTTACAAACTACATTTTGGGGTATGTAATCTGTAATCTGTAGGGGATTACATTTTAAAAGTCAACTTCCCAACACTGTCTCTCACATTCAGATTATTCATGTCAGAAAAGAGGAATGTTTGAAAAATAGTAAAGTGCCTCTACTCCGACAATGAAAAAGAAAAAAAGTTGAAGTAGTGGGACACTTGAAAAATAATGTTTATGCTGCTGCTCCGACAATTAATCATCAGTGTGTAGGATCCAGGCTCAGATCTTTCATGACGACAGGAGACTGACTTGTGTGAGACTTGTGTGGTTTTGTTGTGGAGCTGCTTCATGCTTGGTTGTCAGGAGAGGACGTGTTGACTTTGTTCATGTTACATTCGTTTTGTTGTTAGCTCGTGTTAGCGTCTGATGTGATGCATGTGTCAGTTCTTCACACTCGACGAGCCAAGATGTTTCCACCTCATAAAAACAGATTTGAGTTTGAGAAGAGCAGAGAGACTTAAAACAGACCTACTCTGCAAACTGGACCTTCTGACCTTTGGAGCGTCTGATCGTAGTTTCATCTCAAGTTGAGTTTGGGCTGGTTCCTTTAAGGCCAAAAGTCCAGACCTGTGATAGTTGAATCCACATTAGGATTAACAAAGTGAAACAGAAAGCACCAATGTTTAGACCCAGTTTAAATCGAAGACTGGAAATGATCCACAACAATGTAAACCAAAAAACTGGTTTAAACCAGGACTAAACCAGGACTAAAGCAGGACTAAACCAGGACTAAACCAGGACTAAACCAGGACTAAACCAGAACTAAAGCAGGACTAAACCAGGACTAAAGCAGAACTAAAGCAGGACTAAACCAGGACTAAAGCAGGACTAAAGCAGGACTAAAGCAGGACTAAACCAGGACTAAAGCAGGACTTAACCAGGACTAAACCAGAAGTAAAGCAGGACT